TATTAACATTATTAAATACGTAGAACTTCATATACAAAAGTTTGGGCACCCCTGGTCAAATGGCATTTTGTTGATACCATTTGACACATCTTCTACAGACAGCACATCTCTGTACAATTGAATTTAATTAACTTTCAAAAAAAAAGATTAACAGATAAAATGTACCAAACATTTTATTTTCTTCTTATTTTTCCATCATATTTAACTCAAATGAAATATGCACATAAGCAGGATTTGTGCATTAAAATTAGCAGAAAAAAATGACATATTTTAGTTTGTTCCCTGCAGATAAAGTGTCAATATATTTTCACAGATAATCAACATAATGTAACTTAACCGAAGGGGCTTGAGTTTGAGTAACTGTTCTCTGGAGACATGGAGCTCCATCCTGTACCTCTGGGATAAGTTGAAGGTATCCATCAGTACAACATCAGTAACTGTCCTCACTAATGCTCTTGTGGCTGAATGCAGTCTGTTCCTCACAGCAACGTTCCAACATCTAGTGTAAAGCCTTCCCAGAAGAGAAGAGGCTGCTACTTCAGCAAACTCCCTATTAATACCCTTGATTTCAAACTTGACGCCCCAGGAAGAAAAGCACAGCAACATCTCTTTACAGCACACATTACGGCAAAAGCACGGCATGTGAGAGACTGAATGAAGCAAAGACAAGAGGATATTACTACAAGATAAATCTGCCCAACATCTTAACAGACTTATAGAGTTACCCAGGGGAAGGATGAGAGAGAGAGAGAGAGAGAGAGAGAGAGAGAGAGAGAGAGAGAGAGAGAGAGAGAGAAAAGAGGCAGGGTTTCCATTTGAGCAAAGAGGGATACTTCCTTTAGGTGTGAATATGACATCACTGTCACCATGGAAGCAGGTGTTTGAGGGCTTAACTCAATACAATGATTATATATATAATCCTCTATTTAAAATGTTTCCGAGGAGTGTAATATTACTCTTCCTTCAGATTGGTATTTGCTGATGTAGGTCAAGGGTGGGTGTGTGTGTCGGAGGGAATAAAGGTACTGATAAGGATTAAAGGCTGGCCTTTAATTAGTGAAATGGAAAGGGAGAAAAAAGGGCTTTTCTCTCTCTCTCTCTCATACACATGCACGTGCACACACACACACGGTCCAGTTAAGACGTCTGTGTGGTTTTATATACCAAAAACAGTCAAAATTAAGTTTTACTTGAACATTTTCCAACTTTTCTTCACTAGATGTTGCCGTTCTGAATCAAATCCGAGATACGTAGTTTGGCAGCCTGTGAATCGGCTCGATGCACAAAATCTATCCATGAAACCACTTCAAATGCTCTGTTTGAAGACATTACCTCAAAGGAAAACAGATTTGGCTTGTTTGCAAAAAGGATTTGGTAAAACTTTAGTTTAGGCCAGCTGTTTACAACAATGTTTAAAACACAACAATTGACTAAGTATGTCCAATATTGTCTGCAATAAAGGGGCAAGGTCATTTTTTAAAAGCAAAATAGAACCCACCTGCATATCACTGTTGTCAGTAGAAAACCTCATATCTCCAAAATTGTAACTTTACAGGAAAACGAAAAAACCTACTTTACTTTTAATGTAAGTCAATGGAACCAGATTTTGTTCCAAGTAATTTTGGGCCGTTTCTTTTGGTCCATTCATCATAAAATTTACAAACATTGTAAAGGGCAACAGGCATTTTCAGATTATGTCAAGAACTGAAAAACAACAAAAATGGAGATTCGAGGTTTTCTTCCGACAGCAACGATATGCTGGTCAAAGCACAGAAATGGACAGGAAAGGAGCTTCAGGCGAGTTCAGACAGACTTATTCCGTCAGAGGGTAGCTGGAATAGCTGCTCATGATCATGCCATTGCTCAGTGGTGAGTACATGTATTTATGTATTTTAAACATTATTGTTGTTTGCTTTCAAAAAAAGGGGCTTCTTTTCTCACACTGTTTATTGGGCGTAACGCCACATCGTTTAGCTCCAATACAAACCTGACAGCTTGTCTTTTCTGAAATATACATGCCAATTCCTTCCACATCACTTGTACTCTGGCTGTACTGTTGCAAAGAGGGGCTATATACAGCTGCTGGTAACCCATCCCCAACTTTTACTACGGGCCGTACATTTTAAAGCTAAGGCACAGAATAATTTCAAGGAACTTTTTTTCCTGTTGGATTTTATTTATTTATTTATTTTTTTATTTTACTGCATGTAAGATGTTCTCTGCACACATGTCAGACATCTTTATGCTTAACTGAAGTTTTTGAGGGGACTTCAGCGATAATAACTTGGGGCTAATGACAGATTTGTTGTCCGTTAGACAAATGTTGATAAGTGCACAGTCACCCCCTACTTTGAGCTCTGCCTTCACGAGGCAATGGACTGGTTTAGAAATTTCACTCTCAGTTTCTTGCCACCCTAATAAGTCCACATTCCCCCCACATTTAGGTCAGAATTTCTCATGGTTGTCCCCAGACATGTATTCTTGGTATGAGATCACATCTGGCTCCGCTAGACCAGGTGAGGCACAATTAATTGCAATTACGACAAACAGCTGGCAATCCCAAGCTGATCTCAACCAGACACTCTCTTGATTAAAGGAAAACTTCAAAGCCAACTGATAGATTTATGTCAGATGATGTTTGCATTTAATTTGCTAGCAGTTTACATTTTTTGCTTGCTGATTGATTGAAAACCTGTTAATGTTTACATTTTGTATTCCTGTTGATGTTTTGTTCTACTTCATTATATTAGTTTTACTTACTTTTATTTTTGTGCTTTGTTTTACAAAGGTCTTGTAAAAGAAAAAGGAGATTTTAAAAGTAATGTATATCATTTACTTTGATTTGTAACAGAGCAATAATTGACCATTTATTTCCTATGGAAGCAACTTGCAGCTGCAGATAAGCAAAAAGCACCAGACTAAACGACAACAGTTCAACAAGCAACAAACTGAGTTGAGCTTTTCGCAACTATATGTAAATTAATAAAGACATTGTGAAGCAACAGTCTAAATGACTGGCTCTAACACATTCATTGGACCAGAGATGGATTACTGACCGCCCCAAAGGGGCCAGTGCCAGGGGCCTCTGACTGCGAGAACTTGGGGGCCTTTGGACTTTAAAACTCCAGGTATCCAGTAAAAATCAAGTATCACACAACTAGATAAAAAAAATAAGATATTAGATATATTACTAGGATCAAAATAAAAAAAAGATTTTCAGTGTTGCTCAAAGTGGACATAAACACGATTGTGAATGGTTTAACCTCATTTTTCAGGATTATTATTATTATTTGTTATTATTATTATTATTATTATTATTATTATTATTATTATACAGAATTTTTGTTGATGTGCAGGGGCCTCAAAAGACTCCTGTGCCCAGGGCCCATCCCTGCCTTGGACCAATCACAGGCACGGGGATTTGAGGTCCTGCCTCTCTGAACTTTTTGTTCCTACCTGCTTTTCCCCCAGTGGTATCAGGGAGAAACCAAAAGAAAAACTGAGAAACCTAAAAACTGGTAAAGTTATTATGGTTTGTTTTTTAAACAAAACACCACAATATATATATCACATACATACACACACACACATTTTTATATATATATATATATATATATATATATATATATATATATATATATATATATATATATATATATATTAAACATTTTCTTGTCATAAGCTGGACACAGAACATTTGTAGCCCATGGCAGAGCAGTTTAGGACAGTTTAGGACAGATCCAACAAAGCAAAAATGACTGCAACAACTACAGTCTTGTTGGGTAACACTAGACAAGCCAGCATCAGGCAAGGCCAAATACTAAGACCAAACAGGTCCAGATCAGACTGAGAGCTACTGTATATATAAACCTATAAACCTCATGTGTGAGAGAGAGAGAGAGAGAGAGAGAGAGAGAGAGAGAGAGAGAGACAGAGACAGACTGGGGGGGTGGTGATGTTGTTTATGTGAAATGTAGCCTGGTTTTGATGGAGTAGAGCAGTATCTTTAGTGTGTTATGTAACAGCCTCTTAAGGCAGACACAGAGACAGACGAGTGCATTCTCTCTCCATCCACAACGACAGAGGAACAGCACTACAAACACTCGACCTACATCAGCAAATAACCATCTGAAGAGAGAAAGAGGGCAACTCATACAGAGTGGAAAAGTTGAGAGAGAGAGAGAGAGAGAGAGAGAGAGAGAGAGAGAAGAGAGTGAGAGAGAGAGAGAGAGAGAGAGAGAGAGAGAGAGAGAAAAGAGAGTGAGAAAGAGAAACGAGAAATAGAAAAAAGAGACAGAGAGAACAAAGACAGATAAAGAAAAACAAAGCAAGAGACAGATACAGAAAGAGAAAAGATAGAAAGAACAGAGAGAGACAGAGACAGAAGACAGAGAGGCAGAGAAAGAAGAGTGTGTGTGAGAGAAAAAGAGATACACAGAGAAACAAAAAAGAAAGACAAAAGAAATAGAAATAGAGAAGAAAGAGAGGGAGACGAAATGAAAAGAAAGAAAGAAAGAGGGTGAAAAAGCAAAGAGACAAAGGAGAGGGACAGAGAGAGAGAGAGAGAGTGAAATGAAAGCTCTTTGCTGAAACTGAGGGCCAAAATACTAAAAACAAGTGTTGAATTTGTCTATATTTAAACTGTCTTTTTTGAAGCCAACACTACATATATTTTGTTTATTTAGATTATACAGCATTATAATTATATAATATTATTCCTTTAATAAATAATTTATTTATGCTTTTGAATGAAAATCATAAAACTACAGGAAAATGTAAACTGAAATGTAATTTATCATTGAAAAGTGACTCCTTTTAGTAAGACATTCATCCAAATATATATATATATATATATATATATATATATATATAAACAAACTTTTTCAGCTTCTTTAGGATGCCTTTTCGGCTACATTCATAAAACGTTTAAAAATAGCCAATAATTATGTTAAAAATGATCCATGGCCAACATTTTGGTGTAGTATGGGTGTCTATCTTACTCTGGATGGTCCTTTGTACATGCAGCGGAGCTGATCCCAGGCCTGCGTCTGCTGGGCATCTAATGTCACCTCAGTCAGCTCCTGCACCAACAGAGAGACACATTATATCAGTAATTATTACCTTGCAGTTAGAATAATGATGTGGAAATCAGCCCAGAGCGCACATTTTCTGGCTTTATATCCTGAGAACAGGAATAAAGATGAACCTGCTCATTCACACAGAACTAAAATCCCTGACTGTTGATAATAATTACAGTTCAAAAGCAATTCCGACTGCTATGAACATGATTCAAAACTCCTTGACCCATAAAATTTGCTCTAATGCTCAAATTAATTCTCCTGTCACCCAAACAGCACATGCTAATACCGCCAAAGTGCAAGTAAACATTATGAAAGCAAGCGTTGCGTGTTTTGACAGCAATCAAACGCCGCCTACATGCAAAATGCTGCATGGAAACAGCAGATTTATCGCTGATTGTCATTCAGTGGGAGACTAATCTTTGTATCATTTCCCTTGAATTCTTAAAATAGAAAAAAGTGTGCGCTAGCAACAAGGAGGAAGTTAAAAGCCTGAGTCGTGTCACGGAAAACAAGTCTAGCCTGAGGATTTTTTTTTTTTTTTATGCAAAGAGCAATCGGGGTAAATAAAAAAGTCTTTAAAAGTCAGAACAGTAGAGTTAATTGGACATTAAAAGTGACATTTTCCACCATGATTGGAGAAAGATAGAAAAACGCAGCAGAGATTATGGACTGACGGCTTTGACATTTAAACAATGCCAAAGAGAGGGTGGGGAAAAGGCACTGAGGGTCCGTCTGCCTTCGGTCCACTTCTCTTATACGGCTCTACGTGTAGAACTGTAGCTCAGGCCATCAAAGGCGTGCTAATTATAATTACAAGTAATGGGGTTATGTGTAAACACACATACAGAGGTGGTCAAAATAATGGAAACACTGGGCAATACATTCATCTCATGCACTTAACTGGGAGAACACATTGGCAGACAAACAGTCGAACCATGTTTGTCCATAAAAACATCAGGACAGATGCAAATTCAGGCTTCAAGATGCCTCCTACTACATTGTTAGCTAGTACTTCACAGATAACAGTCTATCTTAAAGGGGAATTCCATTGATTTTTCAAAATTTATGCATTATTAAATTAGTAGATGTAAACAAAGTCATTCAGAGTGGTTTGGTGTGAAATGCTCTTTTCTAGAGAGACTTACCCATCCAGAATTGTTCACACTGGTGGTGATGGGAACCAGACATCTGAAGAGTTTAACACTCTTATTATAATATTATATAGATCACTACATACATTCACCTATTTCTATGATGTTTCCGAGAGCTGAATTGTCTTTATTTTGAAACATTTTTAAATACATTGTTGCACAAAAGTCAGAGACCCTCTTCGTGTATTCAATTTCCAATCAAAATGGCCATTAAGTAGGAGTTATTCATTTTTCAAGAAATATTTCTGAGGAGATTAGATATATGATAATCCACTTGCATAAGAAAGAGGAAAATCAAAGGACAATAAGTGAAAAACAGGGGTTCAAATACTTAAAAGATACAGAGAAAATGGGACTCCTATCAACCTAGGAAGACCTGGTAGACCATCAAAACTGTCCCTGTCCAATAAACAGCACTTAAAGCTTTCATCTTTGAAAGAGAGGAGAAAATCAAGCTGCTTCAGATCTGAATAAATCCACAGGAGTTTCTGTCCGTCCTTCCACTGTGAGAAGACAACACTATGGGTCTAAAAGCATGTCTATCTATCAGTCCTGTGTTGGACTGTGGGAAGCAGAAAATGCAACCAACTTCTAAGACTCAACTTGGAGGTGGAGATTTCTTTAAAAAACTGAAAGCAGGTCTCTTGGAAAAAATGGAAGCTGTAACAATGGTGGACACATTATATACAAAAAAAGATATAATTAGTGGCTGAGAGCATGTTGAAAAATGAATAACTCGTACTTGGCCATTTTGAAAGTAAACAAATAAAGGGTGCTGCATATCCTCCTGGGTCGCGGGGGGTGCTGGATCCTATCCCAGCGATCAATGGGCGGAAGGCAGGAAACACTCTAGAGAGGCTGCCAGTCCACTGCGGCTTAGAAGATTAATAAATTAATGAAATAAAGTGGTGTCTGACTTTCGCACAGTATAGCAGCTTAAGATCAGAAGATCAGATTAAGAAGCATGCTAAAGCTAGTATATCAATGCATTACATTGTGCATCAATTGGTCATTTAATGGGTTGAACGAACTGTCAAACCCATTAGCATCTTTCACTGCTTCTTATGTACCCTAAAGGAAGCTGGGAGCATGGCCACTTCACTCCAAGAGGAGAGGAGCTGGAAGACAGCTGAACAACAGCACCAGGGACACTTTTCTTGTGTGTGTTTGGAATTGAAGAAAGACTGAAGAAACTGTGTTTCTAATAACTGTTTACTTCATAAGAGAAGTGTCTGTGTGCGTTTTGAACTCGAAGCAGAAGTGCGAGTGAGCGCCTCCAGAGCTGGGAAGCACATAAATGCAATTATTTTTTCGTCTCCCTTGAGCAAAAGAAAGGAATCAACTTCGTCATGCCGCTCTCTTTTTTTTCGGCAGTGGACACAGACGAGCGGCCAGCACCGATTTCGTGTGACTGGCACGTGCTGAGCGGTGGGTTAACTCGACCGAGTCTTCATTAAAGCCATTATTTACCCCTCCCCTCATTTAAATAAACCAATTACACACCGAGTGTTGACAGACGGCTAGCTTCTTTTTGCCTGAGACGTTTTAAAAACAGAACGAAAGAATTTTTTGCTGAGAACAAACAAATGTACTTTTTTTTCAGATCCTATTTCACATCGCAGTTTCTCTGCGAGTGGCGCCCACGCTCTGGCCCAAACTGAATGTAGGCCTTGAGCCAGAAAGCAACAGAGCACAGTCTGCTCCTGCCATCAAGCAGACGACACTGATGTTAAGCCGCGTGGCATCATGTTACTGTTAACATCTGTTCAGATTAGGACTTGAATAAGCTTTACAATCCTCGCTGTTTTTTTAATTACAGTGACTTGTGGAACGCAGAGAGAAGACAGACCTTTAACCAAGTGTGTCTTCCAGTCACACTAAACACAGGGCTAAAGAAGTCTCTGGGCCGTTCCTAAAGGAATACTTCACACACTCTCACAGAAAAAAAGGTATGAAACTGTCACTGGGGCAGTACCCCACTTGTCACTGGGGTGGTACCCTCAAGAGTACATCTCAGTACCTTTAGTCAGGGATCTTAATTGTACCATAATCCGTTGAAATTATATTTTCCAAGTTAAACTTTAGATTATGAAAAGGTACAAATGTGTAATTTTCACCTGGGAAAAACTTATTTAAGGTGCACAGTTGGACCTTAAAACCACTGTTGAACCTTTGAGGGGACATTTACATTATTTGTATCTTGATGAACGACAAATGTACCTGCACAGAACCTTTATTTCTAACAGTGTAGAAACGCCAATTCAAAGTTTAGTTCGATTGACTTCACATATATATATATCAATTCAACCTGTGACTGGCTTCAACCAATTTAGTTAAAACAACCTGTTCAAAAGAATGATTCACTCACAATGCATTATCACTCTCCCTCTGATTCATATCATATCAGATATTATATGACGTTAGTGTATTATTATTATTATTATTATTATTATTATACTTACTTATTGTTAACAAATCTGTTATTGGTCAGCTTCCTTCACTTTTGTACCATACTGCACTAACTACATGTACAATCTACTTTATTATGGTGACGACAGTGAGAACTGAATTTAACAGGCCTTCTGGATTTTAAAGTGCCCCATAATCTTAGAATGAGTCCCAACAAAACTTGATTGAATGATTTTACGTTTATCACGAGTAAACTGTATCATTATGTATACTTCTTTTATTAATTAACCTTCAGTCAGACCTGTGCTGAATTCAATTTGATTTACAGCATATCAAGACAGTTATTATGTTTCAGAAGAAACAACACGTCTTCAGAGTTTTTCTCAAGGCAGCTGAAAATACTAACATTTCTGCCTGAGCAGGAATTTTAGAAGAACAACCACATAATAGAATTGTAAATGTAACTGGCTGCCCTGTATTGTGCCTTGTTCAAAAAGCAGGCCAGGCTGAAACACTTCTTATAACCTCAGTATGAATAGGTGGAGCTAAACTGCTGTAGGAATGTGTGCATCACCACAGTGGTTTAGCCCCACCCCTGCATACTGAGGTTATAAGAAGTGTTTCAGCATGGACTGCGTTTCGAACAAGGCACAATACAAGGCAGCCAATCAGAACAGAGCTCATTTACATATATTAGTTTATATTAGATTACTTACAGGCACAGTAACAAACACAACCTATTTAATTCTAAGGGTTAATGAGAGTGTGGAACTGGCTGTGAATCATGATTGTTTTTGGTGCATAAAGCCACACAAACATAATTAACTCACGTCAGGAAAAAAGTGAACTATAATAAAAAGATTGCATGGCCCTGTAATTAGTTGTTCTGTGCTTTGATGTTTTGTTTGCTGTCTTCTTGGCCAGGGCTCACCTGAAAAAGAGATTTTTAATCTCTGTCACTACCCCATTAAATAAAAGAATACATAAATAAATAATAAAAACAAGAAAATTGCTACTAACGTCATCAAAAATGAAAGAAAGCCAGAGGACACCAATTAGGTTTGATCTGCTAGTCAGCACAGCCTAGCTTTCATTCATTATTAGCAATATTAGACTCTTGGATGAAATGTTTTGAATAATCAGAATTTGATGCCTTTAAAAAGGACAAACATACTGAACCCTCAGGCATGTTGGGGCTATTTAACGCCTACGTTATAAATACTGGTGGATATTTTTAAGAAAATAGGGGTAGGATTATTAAGAGAGACGATAATTAATGACAGTCTACCGACACATTGTGCTGGTGCCAATTTGGTGGGTTTTCTACTGAGAACTTCATTACAAATGAGCACAGGTGTAATTATATACGACCAGCGTGATATAACAATGTGACTGGCTTACATGTTTAGTCCATCTGTTTTTAGTCACCAGGTATGGGGG